CTGTGTCTGGCTGATCTTTAAAGTCAACCGGTGGTTTTATCGCTGTCTCAAGATATGCAAGTGCGACGATGTTGCCACCTTCTATTCTCAGCCGCGGTATTGGCTGGCAGGTAACTTAGCCACACTTGAGATTATAATGTTGCTGAATAAATATCGACTGGTTTCTGAACTGGTTTATGTTTTGCTTTTTGGATCAGGGAGTCTCGATTCTGATATCAGGGTTGTTTGGTACTGGTGCTGGTTCCTCTGTCTCCATGTAAGCATCTCTGAGATGATACATGTTCTGATTTGATTATTTTCTCTGGACATTTTTGTATGAAGTTGGGATTTTTTCTTCTTTTCGTGCAGAGAAAATGCTGGATTATTAGCCTTGACAAGAGTTGGTAGTCGAAGGGTTGTCCAGATAGCTGCAGGCTTCATGATCTTCTTCTCTATTCTCGGTATATATAAGTTCAAGTCTATCCAGATAGCTGCAAGCTTTTGTTTGAGATTTTGTCTGTACTGATGATCCATCATGTAAATGCAGGAAAATTTGGAGCTGTGTTTGCATCAATCCCTGCACCCATAATTGCTGCTTTATACTGTCTCTTCTTCGCCTACGTAGGAGCTGGAGGTTTGAGTTTTCTTCAGTTCTGCAACTTGAACAGCTTCAGGACTAAGTTCATCTTAGGCTTCTCTGTCTTTCTTGGCTTGTCCATCCCTCAATACTTTAATGAGTACACTGCTATCAAAGGCTATGGTCCGGTCCACACAGGCGGTCGTTGGGTATGTAGTAACCAACTCATGTTTGCTTTTTCTTCTGTTTCCATGGAAGTGGGTTTTTGGTAGTATGATCTGGTCAGACCACCCATTTGATCATACTAATCTTTCGACCCAACACGAAAAAAAAGTTGACTTTAGGAGGAACCTAAAGACTAGAGCATGGCCTGAGCTAATGAAACTCTGATTCTTTTGCATATTTGACAGTTCAACGATATGGTGAATGTTCCCTTCTCCTCGGAACCTTTTGTTGCGGGCGCCGTTGCCTTCTTCTTGGACAATACATTGCACAAGAAAGAATCGTCGATAAGGAAAGACCGAGGAAAGCATTGGTGGGACAAGTTCAGATCTTTCAAAGGTGATACAAGAAGTGAAGAATTCTATTCTCTTCCTTTCAATCTCAACAAGTATTTCCCATCTGTCTAAAAAGGAGAGAAGAGCAAAGAGTTTACCGGAAACGAAAAATGGTGAGAAGTGAAAATTCAGAGTTTCTCCATTGTTACCTTGAGTTTTTTTTAACCTATGTGTCTTGGTTCTTTTGTTCTGTTCATTTCACAACTTTGGTACACTTAAATATCTCTCATATTCTATAGTCTTAATTTACAAGAATGATGAATCTTAAGAGCATTGTTGTTTACTCTCTCTAATGCTTTTGTCTTTGTAAATCCAAGGGAACACTACTTTGTGATTTTGATTAGTTTCTAAACAAATCTTTAGTTTTATTTTGCTTCTGATCTACAGTATTTCTCACTCGAAAGTCTTGGTTGGTTTAAAAGTTTAACTAGGTGATTGGTTGGTTTAACAAAATTGACCAAGATTCTACGAAGAAGAATTTGTTTGAAAATTGAATTGAGGCATTAATTTTTTGTATTAAAGCACTTTTGAAAAAAGCAAAGAAAAAAAAAACGACTCGGTATAAAATACGACTTGGGAACTTTAGATATGACTATATTGATATTGACATTTAAAGATATACTAATTTTACGCCAAAAAAAAAAGATATACTAATTTTTTTTATATTGATAAGATTTATAGTTAATTAATTGTTTTTTGTTATCAACAACTTTTTCTTTACTCAGTTGGTCACACAATATACGTATTGAACAAAATTTGGTCATAAACGAGAGAGTGGCCTTTCATTGTTGCGTGAGGTTTTTGTTCTCTGTTCAATAAAATATATTGGGACACAAGACATTAAGGCAACTTTTGTTTGTGATCTTAATTAGTGGCAAGCAAAAGTTAAGCTCACTTTGTTTTGTAAGGCTG